TATGTGGGTGCAGGCGCCTTTATTTCCTGTTCTGTTATTGGAATATCTAATACATCGAGGCTGTTATACTGAGGTATTATGTTGAGTGCTTCTATATTGGGGGGTGTTTTCTTGGTTAAGGATATGGCTGTAATGCTCTTTCCAGCGGTTTCTGATTTGCTCTTCCTCTTTTAGAAGTTCGCCATTTTGTGCCATGATTGGGCATCTTGCCTTCTTAGTTGGACCGTGTACTTTTACAGCCTCGAAGAATTTACGATAGTCGTGATGCGTAGCATACTCCTGAATCTGACTAGCTTTTTGCAACCACCAGTTATCCTTTAGTTGGCGCAGGTTTCTTCGGAGCGTGTTGTTGGCTGCCTTAAAGTTGTCTGCTAGTCTTGGATTGTCTGGATTTGCAGTGACGACTTGATGTGCTCTATGCTTTTGTTCCAACAAAGCCTGTATATGCGGTTGATTTTCGTTAAACCAGTCTGGTTGTTTCTTTTTGTTGGATTTTCCCAGTACTGCTTCGCTGGTTTTGTGAATCGCATCTCTTAGTTGTGTCCAGCAATGTTCAGCATCCACGATTGAGATTGAAGTTATCGGTGGAAGTGATTCTTTGATGGCTTCCCGGAGGGCGTCGGCGGTATCGTTGTACTCTAGACCCCGTACGTTCGATCTGGTCATGTAGCTTTGCTTTTTACAGTGCGGATGTTTGGGTTTTAACTGGATTTTCATTTTTGAGATTAAAAGTCGGTGGTCAGTGCCACATTCGGCATCTACTCTGGCTTTTGTGAGACTGACATCTTTTAGGTGCGTCCTTCGAACGATTACGTGGTCCAATTGGTGCCAATGGCCTGATCTCGGATGGTTCCAGGTACCTTTAAATTTGTCCTTCAGCATGAACCACGTATTGGTGATGCAAAGATTATACTCTGTGCATGTTGTTAATAAGCGTTCACCATTGCTAATTACGTTTCCTATTCCATGTTTTTCCAATACGTCAAGCCATATTTCCTGTTGTTTGCCGACACGGGCATTAAAGTCACCTAGCAAAATGATTCGTTCGTGCTTTGGGATTTGTTGGAGTATATTTTGCAGAGCTTGGTAAAATTTATCCTTATCCTTAATTTTAGCGTCTAGGGTAGGAGCGTAGGCACTTACGATGTTGACGTAAGTTTTATCTGATATGGGGTACCTTAGGGTCATAAGACGTTCGGAGACACCAATAGGTACCTTTGTTAATTTGGTGGCGATTTCGTTTTTGATTGCAATGTCTACGCCATGAATTCTCCTGTGTGTTGTCGGGTGACCCTTCCAAAAGAAGGTGTAATGCTCCTCAGTGAGACTATCTTCATCCGCAAAGCGGGTTTCGCTAAGAGCGGCAACATCTATATTTAGTCGGTGGAGTTCCTGTGAGACCAGTGCTGTTCTTCTCTCTGGTCGATTGGAGTTTGTCCTGTCCAGTAGAGTGCGGACGTTCCACGCCGCAAACGTGAAACATTGACGATGTTTAGTTCTCCGATGATACGCTCGAGTAGGCACCCCCTCCCGGAGATCCGATCGAGGGGGTATTTTACCTCCGGACGATGATTTTGTCCTACTCGAATGTTCCATCTTTGATGAGTGTAAGCTGCGTAAAAAGGTTAAACTGTGACGGTTACGCTGCCGCACAGTTTGGCTGCAACTGTAGTACGGGATGGCTATGGCACAGTGAGGATTGCGACGATAGTTCCCTTGTGCTACGATCTCGGCCGGCTAGGAGTAGTTTACTACTCCTCTTCCCCAGAAAGGTGGTAGGTCTGAGGGTTGTATATTGATATACCGCCTATACTCGGTCGTCAGAGCCTCGTTTGTTTAAACAGGGTGCACCACGTGAAGGTGAGGTTGACTTTTGGGTAAGCTAGGCTATATGTATCGCTTCAATACCCCTTGCACCCCTTTTTATAGGTTATAATCCACGGTGTTAACCTATTTCAAAATCGTCTAATTATTTCTTATTTTTGAATGGATTTATATCAAACCGTTATTATTATATATGTTACGCACAATACTCGAATTCGGGTAATGCCCGAAAAAAATGCACAGAACTAGGTTTAAGCAAAAAATATTTCCCAAACCCGAAATTGTACATTTAAACGGGTATTGCGCATTACAAAATAGCCAAAACTAGTATAGTGCATTTTAAATTGTGCAAAACTAGTTTGGTGCATTTCAAAATGACCAATACAGGTTTGTTCGTTTTCTTTAAATAAGACGGCAAAAAGTAGGGTTAGGAGTTTGTTTAGGTTTTAAAGGATTCTTATTTTGATTTTGTTGTGGGTGGAAATACGCAATACAATATAATATAAAAATACAAGAAAAAATGGAAGCCGAGTTCGAAATTCAAGTAAGTAGATTGATGATTGCTGAAACACAGAAACATAACCTTATGTCGACTGAAGTTAAGGAGGCTACTTTTCTTAAAACTGATTTAAAACCTTTGTGTGCAAAACAATATAGAAGGATAAAGCGTTTTGATATAACTGTGGGTGGTGTAGAAAAAATTATCAAGAAGCGCCAAGGAGATTCAGATGTCATACTGTATTTTGTGGTCTGGTCTTATTTGGTTTTATTTCATGCATGTGTATAAACAAATGTATTAATAGAGCGTGTTCTTGTAGAAAAATAATGTTATTTGCAACTCTAAGTGCCACCATTCAATTTCCTGTTCAAATAAATAATATAATGCTACTGTATAAATATTCATAAGGTACCTATATTATTATGTATTTATTTATTTATTTATTTATTCTACAACACTCTACAGCTTACGCCAATTACAGAGTGGGTTACACACAAAAAAAATTCAATACAAAATAATTAAATTAAACAAAAAATAACATCAATGAGAAAAAATACATATCAATGAAAAAAAAACAACAACAATATAAACCAAGAAAAACCACTAAACTGAACTCACAACCGAAACCAAACTGCAGCTGAAAATATCAAAATTACACTGATATAAATTATATGCATCCTGCATACGTTTCAATGGCGAATATTTACTTACATTTGTGCGCGAGGAGGCCACATAAAATGTAAAGCTATACCGAGAGCTACGTGGGACCAGAAAATTGATTTGACTGAGAACATCCGGACTATCAATTTCATTATGTAATAACTTGTATAAAAATTTCAGCTCTGAATTTGTCCGTCGAACCTCCAAGGAATCTAGAGAATGTTTCTGCAATAAAGAGCTGTGACAGCAGCCAATTTGCGGGTAAACCCCATCAGTTCTTAAACTCAGATATTTCAGAAAACGACGCTGTACCTGCTCGAGAGCATTAATATGTGCCGCATAAAACGGCGACCATACAATTGATGCATACTCTAGCTTTGATCTTACAAAAGCATAATAGAGTAGTTTTAATGTGTTACTATTGCTAAAATCTCTAGTATTACGCACAATAAATCCCAAGGCCTTAAACGAAGATTGAACGACTTCAGATATATGCTGAACGAAAGATAGTTTACTGTCAAATGTGACACCCAAATCTTTAAAAACAGATACTCTACCTATCATCGTATCACCGATAGAATAATTATAAATTTGTGTTTCCGATTTCAAGGTATAAGACATGACTTTACATTTTTCAACGTTCAATGGTAAGTTATTATATGAACACATGCAACTAATCGATCAACACACCTCTGAAGCCGTTCACAATCATGAGGCGAATCAATGCGGGAAAATATCTTCATGTCGTCTGCATACAGTAAGACACTTAAATCAATTATATCAGTGACACCGTTTATAAAAATGTTAAACAATAACGGTCCCAAAATAGACCCCTGGGGTACACCCGAAGTAGCGCACAGATAGACCGAATTCTGGCCACAATACTCCACCCTCAACAATCTGTTTTTTAAATAGGACTCAAACAACATTAATAAGTTAGCTGAAAACCCAATCCGATCCAGATGGTAAAGAAGGTATTGTATGTATGTATTGATCCATTTATATGGCAATGTATTGATCCATTTATAAAATATTTATGAATAAAGTTTTATTTTGAAGTATTTTATTCTCAGTTTAATCATATTTGAATCAAACTCATTCATAAACAATCCATCCTTTGTGTTAGGGCGTTATTGATCAAATAGGACAAGCAAAACTAGTATTGGACATTTTGAAATGCACCAAACTAGTTTTGCGCAATTCAAAATGCACAATACTAGTTTTGACTATTTTGTAATGCGCAATTCGTTTAAATGTACAATTTCAGGTTTAGGAAATATTTTTTGCTCAAAACTAGTTCTGTGCATTTTTTTCCCGCATTACCCGAATTCGAGTATTGTGCGTAACATATACAAAAGTATCTTTTACAGTTTTCTCTCTTTTTTTTAAGAGGTTTAGGAATCTGTTAGCAGACATCCATTCTTTGGCTCATAAGGCGGTCTTGGTTTGATGTGCCTGGATAGTGTCGGGTTGGTGCCCCACTCTGGGAGGTAACCGACCGACTAAACCCATCTCCTCTGTTCCTGCCACACTTACTGGTCCCGTCCGTGGACATCTACGCGAGTAAGTGCCGGTATTACTTTCTTCATTTCATTTTTTTCCCTCTTTACTTTTACTTTTCTTCTTTCTCATTTTTTTCTTTCTATGACATTATACCTTTAATGTAGTCATTAATGTGATTCCAGTTCTTTTTGGTTTTAAGCATAAGGCTTACCATATTTCCCACAGTAATGCAATCACCTATTTCATCACAAAGTGCTTTTCTTTCCTCTTTCCATTTATTGCAGAAAAAGATTGTGTGTTCTGCATCATCAACGGGATATTTGCAAAAAACACATGACGCAGATGTCTTTTTCCCTATCCGATGTAGGTACGCAGGGAAGCACCCATATCCCGTCAAGGCCTGAGTCAGATAATAGTTTGCTTCTCCCCATACCCTGTCAAACCATTTGTCACATTTCGGCATTAGCCTCCAGATCCATTTAGTTTCCATTCCTGGTGCAAGCCATTCCATTTGTCATTTAATTAATGTGTCCCTTCTAGCTTGTTTGCGTCTCAATACATCAGGCGGGTTTCTAGCAAGTTTTTTCTCAAAGAGAAGTTTGCTTTCAGCTGCCAGGAGATGCAGTGGGGCCAGGCCTCCCAGGAGAATGGCCGCATCTACAGATATTGTACGGTACCCTGAGCACGTCCTGATTCCCATTATTCGTTGGAGTTGGATTATTCTCCTTTGGAATTTTTTGATTTTCATGGCTTCGGCCCATACAGGCGCACCGTACATCACTATGGACTGCATTGCCATAGTCAGAACCCTTCTTTTAGATGCACTTGGTCCCCGCAAGTTGGTTAACAGGATGCTAAGTGCTTTTATAACTAATTGGACTTTTAGGCAAGCAGAGGTAATGTGATCTCCCATTTTTAATCTTCTGTCGAGGGTGATACCAAGATATTTGACATTTTTCTTTGGAACTATCTTGTAATTTTCTATTTTAAAACGTATATGTTCCACCTTTCGTTTATAATTAAGAAGTATTGCTTCCGTTTTCGTAGGAGCGACTTTAAGGTAGTTGTTATCCATTCATTTCAAAACTTCTGCAAGGGTCCTGTTTGTATTTTGCACCATCAGAGCCTCACTCTTCTCTGAAACCAGTATCGCCAAATCATCCGCATAACATATTAGCCGCACGTTTTTCGGTACATTCAAACTCAGGAGATCGTCGTATACCGCGTTCCATAATGTGGGACCCAAAACCGATCCCTGGGGCACTCCTCCATATACAGATTTTTCTATTTCTTTTGCCACGATTATAGTTCTGTTATTTAGGTACGACTTAATGATGTTTAATATATACTTCGCTATCTTCATATCTTCCAGCTTCTTGTGTATTATTCTCCAGGATCCTGTGTTAAAGGCGTTTTATACGTCAATCAGTACTAAGGCATGCCGATCTCCTGGCCTTTTTTAACCGTTTCAATTACCATGTTCACTGCGTGTACTGTTGACTTGCCCTCTACAAATCCAAATTGCTTGTCGTTGAAACTTCCACATTTATCCTGTATTTCCATAACTAGCCGATTTTTGATTATCTGTTCATAGACCTTGCCAATACAGTCTAACAAACAGATTGGCCTGTATTTTATAAATTCTTCTGGATTCTTTCTTGGTTTCTCAATAAGGACCAATCTGGCTCTTTTCCACTCATCTGGAAATTCGTTCTTTTGCAACAGGGAATCAAAAAAAGCTACAAAATACTCCAGGCTGCCAAGTTCTAGTGATTTTATCACATCGGGAGGAAGACCGTCAGGGCCCGAGGCCTTGCCAGTTTTTATTTTATTGGCTACCACTCGTACCTCTTCATTTGTAAGGGGATTGCATTTCCTTGGTGATACTTGTTGTCTTTCGTACTCGGGAGTTTTTTCATGTATAAACAATTCCAGGAATTTGCTGAGTTTTTGATCGGAATCTAGATGAATCCTAGAAATGGGCTGGTTTAATTTGGTTTTAACAATTTTGTATCCATTTCCAAAAATATCGTTTTCTAGGTCATCGCACAGACTCGTCCAAGCATGTTCCTTGGCATTTTTAATTTGTCGAACCAGATTTCTTTTGGCTTCCTTATATGCCTCTTTATATTGCGTCCTTTTTACCGAGTCGTTCGTTACCCTTTGAAACTTCCGTCACATGCGCTTAACTTCAGCGATGTTAGCCTGGATTTCTTCACTCCACTCTGATTTTCAATTCTGTTCTTGTTGGGCGACGTTTGTACATCAACGTCGTACATCAACTTCTCTGTTTGCTCGTACCTTAGGCTATCCAGCAAATTCTTTACAATGTTGCTATTTAGCTGCTTCGTATATTTCATAGATTTTTTAGTAGTTTCTTGATTTCCTTTCTGGTGCTTTTATCCATCTTTTATTGTAAATCCTTATTAATATTAGTGATACAATCAATAGCCTCTTTTATCACTGCTACTTCAGTTGATTCTTTCCTACTGTATGGGTTTTTCTTGAGTTTTTGCATCTCATCGTACCCCATTGACATGATTAAATATTTTCAGAGATAAAATGGTTCAAGTCCAAAAAAATACAAACAAACATTCTTAAAAATGACAACAGTTGTATTTTGAGTTACTTTAGTTTGCAATTATACAATTTAAAATATTGCCAAGGTGTATGTGGCGCTAAACTGTATTGCTGGTTGCCTACATTGTCGCAACGTGTATTTCTGGTTGCCTACGTGTCAAGAAACATGACGAATTCACCAGAACGTGAAAGAAATATTACAGAATTCTATAGAAGGTTCGAGAAACAGTCAGTAGGGGTATATAAAGGCCCGCGCTTGGCGGTTGGACAGTTTGAAGTTTGAATATACCGCGTTTGGAAATTGTGAATCGGACAATTTGGTGAAGATAAATAGTTAGTTGTATGTTTAATTAGTATAAATTGTGTGTAAATAGTAAATTTAGAAAAAAAATAAATTCGTTAAGTATTTCATCGTGAGTTAAAATTAGTGGACCAACAGAATCCGTAACAATATAATAAAACATCGTTTCTTCTCCAGCTTGTTTTATTTTAATTAAGTAACATTAAAAAACTTTAACTCTCATTTTCTCCATAATTATCTTCTGGGGCTTGTTTCATTTCACTTCAGAACCCCTCATATTTTCGTGTACGAAGAGTGGGTATATTATAGTTGCGATCTGAGAGATTTCGGTTTTTGACAAAATCGACAGGGGGCTACCGAGGAATGTTTTCGAAAAATTTTGGAAAATCGATTTTGCTTATTTCGTAATATGTTGTAGCGCTGAATGTGTACTTTACAAAAACGGTATCGATTTTGAGATTCACACCTTTTGTTCCAGAGATTTTTTTTTGAGGTTCAAGTTAACGTCTCCTTTCTGCTGCAATGGCTAAACTGGACGGGACCTACTTGTTTACGCGGAATCCGAACCGCGGTCCTCGGCCATATCATGGTCAATGGCCTACCGACTTAGGAAGTGTCTAAAATTAGCTCTTCACGAGATATCCGATCTCATCCGGCCTTGAACCGGCGTGAATGAGCAGTGTGTATATAGATTTTACACTTTTCCTTTTTTGGACAACAGCACGATGCAAAGTTTCGAACCGGTCACCCGTCCATCCACTAGCATCGCCTTACGTCGTTTAACTTCGGTGTTCTAATGGAACCGGTGTTTCGACATGTAGACCGTTGCCACTTGTTCTAAAGATATTTGGTGTTAAATGTTTCGAAAAACAGAAAAAATATTTCTTTGTAGATTTTCTCGATAACTCGAAATCTGTTAGAGATATCGGAAAACCGTTTTCAGCATTCAATTCTACATAAAATGAACTATCAGTGGGTATATTTCAGTTGCGAACGGCAGATTTCAGTTTTGACAAAATCGACGATTACCGAGTTGTTTTCGAAAAATTTTGGAAAATCGATTTTGCTTATTTCGTAATATGTTGTAGCGCTGAATGTGTACTTTACAAAAACGGTATCGTTTTTGAGATTCACACCTTTTGTTCCAGAGATATTTGGTGTTAAATGTTTCGAAAAACAGAAAAAAATATTTCGTTTGTAGATTTTCTCAAATAACTCGAAATCTGTTAGAGATATCGGAAAACGGTTTTCAGCATTCAATTCTAAATAAAAAGAACTATCAGTGGGTATATTATAGTTGCGATCTGAGAGATTTCGGTTTTTGACAAAATCGACAGGGGAGTACCGTGGAATGTTTAGGATATAAAAGAAGCAGCTTTTTTGAAACAGTTGCGGGCATAACGCCTGGCTGTCGAGATAACAGGAGTGGGAAAGGAGCGCTGCTGCATCGGTCGATTGTCGATGGAGGCTCGCAACGGGTTGGAGAATAACGCATCAGTTGTTTTAGCTATGTTGTTTTTTTACCTGTTACGAGCATAACAGAACGGCGTTCGAGATAATCGGAGGTTTGAAACAGGTTGGAGAATAACGCATCAGTTGTTTAGATACATATTGTTTTCAACCTGTTACGAGCATAACGGGCGGAGGTCGAGATATTATGGTGCTGTATGTTTCAATACTTTGTTATTAAGTTTCAATATTTAAGTATTTATTTATTCTGAAAAATTTTTTTCAGAATAATATTTTAAAGATTTTTAAAAATGTATACAGGGTGTTTTGAAAATCTGGTCATTGATTAATCGATCCTGCTTAAAGCCCTTGACAAAGCTGATTTTGGAAAGCAGTTGACTTTAGGGTGTAGAGGTGCGATAAGAAAGGATTTTTCGAAACTCAAATTCTAGAGGGGGTGAAACCACCTCAAATAATGAATATTTTTTTATTTAAAACTGGTGAGTTTTTAAATAAAAAAAAAAAAAAAAAAAAATATTTTTATTTTGTTGTTTTACACATATTTTGAATTTTTTACAAAGTTTTGCCAATCTGGAGAGATTCGGTTTTTGAACAAAATCGAGCGGGTGGATTTTTTTCGAAAGAAAATTTTGGAAAATTTTTTTTTATTTTGCTTATTTCGTAATATGGTGTAGCCCTGAATGTGTAATTTACAAAACGGTATCGTATTGAGATCAAACACCTTTGTCCAGGGAGATATTTGGTGTTAAACATTTCGAAACGATAGAAAGAAATAGTTCTCTTGTTGGTAGATTTATCTGAATATAAACTCGAAATCTGTGCGAATGAGATATCAGAAAACGGGTTTTTCGGCAGTCACATTATAATAAATTAAACTCAGTCTGTGAGCATAATTTATCAGTTCGCAATCTGAAGAGATTTCGGTTTTTGACAAAAATCGACAGGGTTGTGCCGAGGATTTTTTCGAAACAATTTGGAAAATCGATTTTGCTAAATTTCGTATATGTTGTAGCGCTGAAATGTGTACTTTACAAAAAACGGTATCGTTGAGATTCACACTTTTGTTCCAGAGATATATGTTGTTGTTAAATAGATTTCGAAACAAAAAACAGAAAAACCAATATTTCCTTTTGCGATTTCCAAATAACTCGCAATCTGTTAGAGATATCGGAAAAAGGGTTTTCGGCAGTCAATGGTATACATAAATGAACTGATCTGTGAGCATACTTTAGTTGCAATCTGAGAGATTTCGGTTCTTTGACAAAACGAGCAGGGTTGGCAGAGGATTTTTTTATCGAAAAAATTTTGCGTAAAATAGAATTTTGCTTGATTTCGTGTATTGTTGTGGCGCTGTAATGTGTACTTTACAAAAACGGTATCGTTTATTAAAATCACACATTTTTCGGATATTGGTTGTAAATGTTTCGAGAGAGGAGGTGAGGAACAAATATTGACTTTTGGCAGAATTTCTCAAGCATAACTCGAAATCTGTTTAAGATATCGGAAAACAACGGTTTTCGAAAGTCAATTCTGCATAAAATGAACCATCTGTAGAGAGCATA